AGGGACCAACACAGGGAGAAACCATACAAGTGCATGGAATGTGGGGAGAGCTTCCAGCGAGGTGGATATCTACAGCGACATCAAAGGATTCATACAGGGGAGAAACCATATATGTGCATGGAATGTGGGAAGAGCTTCCAGCAGAGTGAACATCTACAGCGACATCAAAGAATCCACACAGGGGAGAAACCATATATGTGCATGGAATGTGGAAAGAGCTTCAATCACAACGGAAATCTGCGTTGCCATCAAAGGACCCACAGGGAGAGAAACCACATCAGTGCATTGAATGTGGAAAGAGTTTCCGTCACAGGAGTAGCCTTCAGCCACATCAAAGAAATCACACAGGAACACGAAATGCATGGAATATAGAAAGACCTTCATTTGCCTCGCAGAAGACAACACTCACAGAATGCAAAGTATACAATGACTGGACTTCATTTCTGTAAGGACTCAGCTCTCCTCAGAGAATGCTGAGGCCCGGAATAGAAAGGTTCCAGAGTCCAGTGTACCCCTATTTGAGTTGAGATGAGTCCTTTTCTCAACTAGGCTGTCTCACCTGGCATTCTTTTCCCAAGTCTATTCCCATTTAACAATTAACTGAGAAAATCAAAGATAAAATCATGAGTCTCAGAGTCTGCAAAGACCAGCAAAACTCAGGTAATTAATTGGACTCAGTAGCACATCTGTGGCCTAAATAGATTTAAATAATTAAGCAGGTTGTCTGCTCAAAAGACCAAACATAAGTTCTTAAGTATTATTGTTTTATTAGAAAAATAAAGAATTTGAGATATTCAGTTTGTTGCAAAGCATAGCATTCAAATACATTTCCATAAACTAAAGTAGTTAGAAACTTAGCAAATCTCAGCTATAAAAATAAAATAAGAAAACTCTACTAGCTAGAAAGGTGGGTAAGGCTGAGGCCCCCCCCTTTCTCTACTCTCTGCTATGAACTACATAATCCAAGGTAAAATCCAAAAATCAAAAAAGGATTTCAAAAAGGTCTCTGTGTCAGCATCTCTCAATTTTTTCTCATGCTGGAACACCCTCCTTCTTCATTCTCCACTGACATACACCAATCAGGACGAAGGACTGCTCATCTCTCTCCTCCTCCTTTTCTCATGGGATTGCAGGTGTTGTTGACATTCTTCCT